TGAGACAGGACACAAGACAAGGGTGTCTCGGCCTCGTCCTATCCCGTCAACACCCCTGCTATGAACATTAAATATCATAGTTAATTTTAAGTGAGACACGTCAACCAAATATCATACAATTACCGCATTCTGTGTGTGATGCTGTAATTGCAGGTGAATCGAATCTATCTACAGTATTATGGGTGGAGAATGGGAGATTACTTGTGTGTGCTCAAGCAAACAAGTGAGAACACTGGTGTCAGTGGGTCATGCAGGAAATGGCAAGAGTGCAACTGGCAAGTACTATTCTTGGAACACAAGCCTTCAAGTCTCAGGTTAGCATTTGTGGTGTTACATCCTCTTGTCATATGCACACTTCTTTGCACTCTCATGACCTCACTGTCATGTGCAAATCGAGAAAAAGCTTTATGGGCGGCCACATGTAAAGGATATAAATCACAACATGAGAATGCTGAGGATATCAAGTATTGATGATCTGGTCCTTAATGAACATTTTGGAGCCAACCTTAGTAGATTGCATTGGGAATCCTCGTAAAGATGGTACAGCCTTTCAGTATTTTCTTATTTTCATACCATGTTTCATGTTTGGCTAAATTTTGATTAGAGATGCTGGGATTAACGTTTATTTATTAAGTAGTTACCTCAATTAAGTTTCTTTTTAACCACTCTAAAGGTTACAATATTTGTCAGGTAATTTACATGATAAAGTATTCAATGTTTTAATACTTGCAGTCTTGACAATATATGGATTAACGATCTAATACAGTAGCCGTTCTCCCTTACACTTGGCAACAAATTCGTATGGAGATGATACCCTGCAGTTGGAATGTTCAAAGAATGAATAGATATATTGACTTCTGCAATTTGTTCTCTTTCCCTTTCTATTCGTTAATTTTATTATGTCCTGGTAGTGCAAAAACATAATTGAGGGTCAGGAACCATTTTTTCCAGTTCTGTTAATATGATCGATTTTGCCAGGTGTTTGGAATGGATATTCCACATTATTGTTGCCATGGCACAGTGAGTAATTCTAAAAAAAATTCTGACAGGGTGTAGAAACTTTTGTTTTTGTGTCTTAGATAGAAAGCCATTTTTTTCTTATCTCTTTTCTCTTTTTTGCTTTGATGTTATCATGCCCCACCTATTCACAATTAATGAATATGAGTGGAATATTTGCTCACTTTAATTTTCATCATTTTAAACAATTTCTTAAAAATATTATAATAAATTCACATCAGGCATTTAATTAATTTTTTTTTATAAAAGTAAGAAAATGCTTCTCTTTTACATCAATAACTCCCAGAATATAACCCAAAACATGTCAATTATAACACAAAATTGAAAGTCATCAACTATATTATTTCGAAAACCTGTGATTTTTTCAACATCTTGGTTCTGTGAGGATTATGTAGTAAGTAGCAATTAATACATTAGAAGATGATGCCCTGAACTCTGAATGTTCAATGAGTGCGTAGCTATGTTGACTTAAATTCTGCAAAATGTTCTCTTAGCCTCTTTATTCATTAATGTTCCTTTATCCTTATAGTGCAAATAGATAATTGAAGATCACGGACCATTACTTCCGGTTGTGTTACTACAATGGATTTTGCCAGTAATTTGGTCTGTATAATGTACAATCCTCTATTATGTCAATCGCAATTATTTTTTCATCATCTTGGCTCTATGTTGTTATTCAAATATGTTTCACAGGATACTGCCCCCAGTCAGATCAAACCACATGTACATGTTCATTTAAATGTATACGAGTTACAAGACATCCTTTTTTTCCAATGTCTCTATTAGCAATCACTGGTTTGTTGAGTATTAAAAAATGAATCCAATTTTAGACTGTTGCTCCCGCCTTCTTTGACAATGATCAGTTCATGTCCACTCCAAGTGAGTCTTCCGGTTCCAAGAGCAGCCTGAAATTCACCAGGATCTGTGATGACCTTGAATTTTCTACGCGTGAGACATTTGCTGCTACTGAAATGAATAACAAGAAAAGGAGTTCTGTGATTGTCAATGAGTCTGGTACAGAGTCAACTGGTATAGGTAAAATGTGCACCATCTTTGAGCGCAACCAAGAATCCTAGAGTCATCAAGAAGAAGTAGAAAAAGATAGAATCGATAATGAACAAGTTTATGATCTCTGTTTTCATTTCTAAGCAGTCTTTCTCCATTCTACTTTGTATTATGCAGTGTGTTTCTGCATGACCTTTTGTACCGGACGTGAAGAGTATTTTTAGGCAGGGTGAAATGTGATTCTGCATTTTCTTTTGTATTAGGATTGAAATATTTTAAAGCTTACTTTTCATCTTCTCTAACTCACCACGTATCATTCTTTGTGGTGACTCTAAGCGTGTTTTCAACAAAATGCTTAATCAAACAAATTACAAATGAGAACAATCATCTCTTTCACAATTCACCTAATACATAAAGGAGTTCCATTACTGATATATTACTGATATACTTTATGGAAAAATAATGAGGTCTTCATTAACAATCTCAAATCATGACGAAATTTTGGATTGATTGAAACAGCAGAGAATTTTAAAAGATTTAAAATTTAAAATCTTAAAAATTGAATAGGTTAGATTTTAATGATCTTTTTTTAAAATAAATTATTTTAATTTAAGTTCTTAGTCTGCATATAAAAAATTCTTCTTGTTTTGCATATGATGAGGATAATTTGTAATAGATTGTTTAGATTCAAATTTTCGAATTTTTCAATACTTTTACGCACACAGCGTTTCAATGATTGGCAAATAAATCCATGGTGAGATTCCCATGTGGAGGCATCCTTCTAAAAATGTGTTTGGTTGAGAGTTTTTAGAGGGTGAGGGAAAATGCTTCCCTCTTCTCATTTGATTAAAAATTTGGAGGGGGGGAGCTAAAATTTAACCCTCCCCTCCCCTCATTTTGGTTCCCTTCAAAAATTCCCTTCAAATTGAAGTTTTTTGAAGGGGAGGTAAATATTTTGATTTATTTGCCTTTATTAGTTATCTTACATTCCATAAATGTCCATTGCTAAAAAAAAATAAAATAAACTCTTGTGCTCCACTATTGTTAAGACTTCCTTGCTCCATCTTGTCATGGATTTTTTCTCTTGTTACTTTCAAAGCTACATGAAATGCGCCTTTTCCAGCAAGTATTGTCCACAGTTCATCAAGGTTTTCATGTAGATGAGAGCTTTACTTTTGTTTTACTCTCAATTTGCATCTAAGCCCATGAGAAATTGCAATATATTACTTTAAGCCACGTTGTGAATGAGTATATATATTTTATTATTTTTAGTTAGACTCTCAGGTATCATTCAACATGAATATATATATTATACTTTGGGTATATTTTTATTTTCTAATTGGTGTTAAATTTATTTTTCATTGCGGTTGACATTGGATTTAACCTGAACTAACTCCTTGCAATTGGTAGAAGAATTATAATTTTTTTATGGTGTAAATTAATTTATATAAGATAGAAGGGGAAAAAAAAAGCTAATATATGTGGGTAAAAGAGTAAATTAGTCATTACCTCACCTCACCTACCCTCTCCTCTTGAACCAAACCAATAATTATTAAAAATCCCTCCCCTCTCTTCCCTTCAAACAAAATCAAATATAATAACATGAAAACCCTCCCCTCCATCACCTCCCTTCCTTTCAAACTAAACACAATTTAAAAGAAACTATTTGAGACCTTTAGATTTGTTTCGCCTTTGAACCAATGTGTGAAAATGATTAATTTAGTTGTGCTATGATCAATTTTTTAATTTTAAAATTTAAAATGTTACATGCAAATATCTCGGATTCAAATCCTGCATAACAGTAACGTATACTCAAACTATCTGAAAGTATGAACATCAACGTAGAACAACAACTCTCGACTTCATCCTTTATAAACTATGTCCAGATGACATCCCTTAATCATATCTTTGCAATTTCTGTGTGTAAATTTTTAATGAAATTTCTTCGTCCGAGTGTTCCCCCTCAATCTATTCAAATTCTCATTACTCACAATTACCCAATAAATCCGTAAGAAAAAAATAACAGAACCGTTTTTTGAATGCTGCAACTGTTTTAATTTATATTTAAAAGTATCATCTATCGATGGTAGGTTAAACCATCATCATTAAGTTTTTATATTAAAATTTTCAGTTTTGAGGAAACAATTATGCACCACAGGTAACTCCAAACACATTGATAATGATGCTAAAGGCACCTACGATCCACATTCTTCTTTGTTTTCATCTTGGAAAGGGCAACTTTTTTAGTAGTGGATCCGGATCCTCCCAGATTCCTCTCCCTTAACGTCCCTCAGCGGCAGCAGATCTCCAGCCTTCAATTCATATCTAATGGCTCATATCTTACCACATCATGCCATATTAAAATAATTTAATTTTAAAAACAATTTACACCTTATTCTAATACTTTATTTATTAATATTACTCTCTCATTAAATGATTGATTTAATTGAATATTTTTCATAAGAAAGAGATAGATATGAAACATTTCTTTCACATCAAAAAAATAAACTATGACTAGAAAATATATCATTCATTAACAGAATGTGTCCAATTTTTAAAAAAGTAATGTTTATTCTTTTTTTTTACACTTTGAAATTAAATATATATGTTAACAAATCTTCATTTTGTCGAACAAGAGAACATTATTATTTAAATTAGAATTCTGTAAATGTTCATTTAAATTACTTTTTGCAATTTTCTCATATCAGCCGTGCAACACAAGGAATCTAGGTAGGCTCTAGTTAAGGTTGGCTTCTTGTAATTCTAAAAGAAGAATATGATATTCCAAGGGATGAAAATATCCACCATCGACTGTTAAAATAATGAAGGACCATGCACCTTCAAGAGTTATTTTTGTTCAATTTGGTTCACTGGGCTGTGTCCATGTAACAAGTCCACTTGCTGATTAACTTCTTGGTTCAAGCACAAGAAGGGATACAAGCGTAGATGAATTACAGAAGTCTCAACAAAATGCTAAGTGGCAGAAAAGAAGCATAAGACGATATATTATTAGATCAACCTAACGTGAATGGCGTCTAGATATACAACCAACTTTTCGCCGGTAGAACTAAGAATAAGGAATTTCTCTAGTCTAATCACCACTGAGAAAGATAAAAACCATACAGCAGATGAACCTATGGTCTAAATAGATATGCAGAACCCATGCTTAGTTTGATCACAACTCTCAACTTCTCAAATGTCAAGCTAAGCCAGCCACTGGTATGAGCCCCACAGCAGTGGACAACCTGAAAGAGAGAAATATGACATAAAGGGTGATGAGGCCCACTCCTAGCCTTTTGTCAGGGTGCATGTCATTCCGAGGTAAAACAATCAGGGCCCAGATCAGTGCTGAGATAAGAAATCCCATAGTGTAAAATAAGCTTCGGTCTTCAGGAACCAAGTATGATTCAGGTTTCGCCGACCAGGCCCCCAGCAGCATTGAGATCCCCAAACCAACAAGTGTGTTGAACATAGGCCCTGCATAGCATCCAGATAAAGCAATCTGAACTCCATCTCCTCCATTTATTGCCAATGCAACATTTGACACTAAATCCCCCATTGAATTACCCCATGCTAATACAGTTAATCCCAGGATAGATGGATTAACTCCTAAAATTACACCAAATGACACCAATACAGCAACAAGCTCATTGGCTATTATGTAGAACCACACTATGCTCATGACAAATCCTCCAAGAACCCAGGCAATCAAAAACCTGTGCGGTGGATAATCAGGTAAAGTGTATTTATAGGCAAGAACACCAAGTGCGCATCCAAGAACACCACCAATGCTATAGGAAAGTGCAGCACTCAGAAAACCCACATTATCTTGAGTGTTCCACAAAATGGCCAGGAGCATTGGAGCCAGTGAAGCACTAGCCACAGCATATTTTTTTGACCAAACTTCCTCATGGACCAAGGGAATTGTTAGCCGTCTAGGAATTGTCAGTGGCATCTCCATCAGTAAAAATAGTTTTGCTACAGTGAAGGTCGGATTGTTGTTTTCCTCACTCCCATCACTCCATCCCCAAGGAGGCCTTTCATCATCCATCACATTAACTTTATTGGCCTGGTTTGAATAGATTGCCACATTTGAAGACCACATCCACTGTGGCAAGGAAGGAGGGAGATGGGGAGGATCATTGTCCGTGTCTATGTCAAGCAGAGAGCTGTATACAGAAGATTCTTCTTCAGATCCAAGGGAGAACATACCTCCACGGACAGGAAGCATTGGTGTGACAGAATCCAATTTTAAACTACGTGAATGTTTCCAAAATATCTCATTTGCAACAACAAAAAATGCATAAACAATGTAAATTGATACAAAAGCAATGGCTGCCCCAGCTCCCACCTTACCAACAACCAGAATCAGCAAAAGCGACAAAAGAGTGAATAGAAAGAAGCTGACATCCCTTATAAAGCATCTTCTATCAATTTGAATTCCTTTACTGGACACACAAAGAGAAACAGTTCCAACAACAACACAGGTAACAAACAAAGCACCACCTAGCACACTATTAAGTCCCACTTCCCCTGTATCTGTACCAACAAAGGAAGCAATACTAGCAAACACATCAGGTGCACCATTTCCAAGTGGAAGGAGCACAACCCCAGCAACAGTTGGAGGAAATTTCAAGAGCCTTGAGAGAAACTCGAGAGATGGACAGAAGAAGTCTGCAGCTGTGTTGCCCAATAGGTAGAACAACGCAGCTAGCCATATACCCAATACTAGGTAGCCCAGCCCTTGAAAATTTTGACATGTACAATATAAAAACCTTATGTGATCAAAAATTCCTCCTGAATTACAATGTGGATTCGCCTTTAAGTATTCACATGTGCTAGAAAAACCATCATGGTGGAATAATCCGCTACAAAGTTCAGCACTATTTACAGTCATATTATTCTGATGAGGCCCAACAGCTAACCTTGATGAGTTAAGGCCAATTTCAACCATTTGCCGATGAATCACCACTCTTGGAGGCATCTGATGGTGTACCAAATATGAAGATTGCCTAAGAATAGGGTTATGAATAACATCTTCCCGATTGTAAAAGAAGAAAAACAAAACCAAGGAACAAAGGAAATTGATCATCCCATGAAAGGTTCTCTGTCTTGCACCAAATAAGACATTTTGCATTTTCATGTCAAATTTTTTATCCTGAATACCTCAAACACTATGCTGCTGAGCTCCAGAATACTCAAATCCAAAAACGTAGAATTTGTCTAGGGCTTCAATTTCTGGAAAATGAAACCCCGGACTCAGAATTGATGATACTTGAAACACTGTCCAACGAACAAGTACTTTTTTTCCAAGAGCTTGCCCTGAATTACAGCGATGGAATCAAACATATTTGAATGTCACCAAGAACGTATTAAAAATTAAGAAAGAACCAAAAAAAAAAAAATCGTAGCATATGATTCACTAAAAGTGAAATTGATTAGACAGAATTAAGGTATCACTAGTATCTATATCTCTCTAGCTTTAAAGATAGTACTGTTAGAGAAAAAATTATATAAAATGAATAATTACTCTTAAAAATTTTACAGATGGTCTTGCAATCATATCTGAAATTTCCAATAAATGTTGAGCCTTTGTAAAATTGACATCACAATTTACCTTGAACGGTGTGGGTATGTAATACTAGCTTTCACAAGTTGCCAATGTTTGCATAAGAAAACAATGCACAATATGCATATCACATTCTTCATCATACACCCAGAATCAAAATTAACTGCGAATAAAAATGAAACGATTTACCGTAACACGTCATTAATAGAGAACCAGCTACTAAAAACAGTTCATATTAATTCATAACGAAAAATTATATCTTAATCGTACGGGTTAGACTCAATTCTACTCCAAAACCTAAGACAATGCATCCAAACCTATACTAAGGGAGCAGGGTGAAATCAGCGGGAAGAGAGCAGGATTGTTAAATTAGTTCATAAGGGCGGAAATCCTTGTAGTCGACACACCTGAGATGAAAAGACTGCGGAGAGAGCGAGATCGACGGACTCAACGCACACCACGAAACGAGAGGAGAGAACAGGGGTCGACGCACAACACGCCACGAAGCGGGAAAGAACCGGGTACAAGAAAATGAAGGAATGAGAGACCGGGCCGCCGACGAAAATGATGAACCATTAGAGCTCGACCTTCGAGCGATCGAGACTGTCGAATCAGCGGAGTAGCATCTGAGCATTTTACGAAGCTAGGGATTTCATTGTAAGGGGTGAGAATTGAGGACCACGCCGCCGATGCATGTTCAATGTTTTTTTTTTTTTTGGAGATGCTTTTTTTTTGGGGGAGGTGGGGGGAAGAATTTCATTCGAGGACCGATAAAGACGTGTTTACAACGAAGGACCAATTAATTCTTGAAACCTACACAAGCAAAAAAGATCGAAATGAAAATAACTTTATTTGTAAAATAACTTAACTACCCCTAAGTTTCTCTAATTTTCGAGACAAAGGCGATCCTCCAATTGATCAATTCAAGACATTCCTTCGTTTCTTTCGATTGTCATCGAACCTTTTTGGAAACAGACAAAGCTAGTATTTCATGGTAATCAACCATTACAATCATCAAGCCTTTATTGTGAATTCATTATGTGGACACATGTTCTTCCTGCCACTTTGTCTAACCCATTTATGTGATTTTCTTCCTTCTTCCCCTTATTACGTAAATGAACCTTTTTTATTTATATTGTCATCTTTGTGTGTTTGTAAACCCTTGCAGTGTACTGCAAACGCGTGGTACATTTTTAACGAATCATGAAAGTCATCCATGGCCAATGTTGACAAGTGGTCTAAGTCGATGATTTACTGGTTGAGAATACTATCATAGCAAAAATCATTTTGACTTATATAATTTACTTGTTCTTCTTACTAATTTAACAACCTAGATGCCTATCTGTTTACTTGTAAAATGCCAAATTGGATGACCAAGCATAGTAATCATAATAACAAGCAATTTTAGAAAATTAACATACGTATGAGCAAAATTAATATCTATTTACTTATTAAATTACTAATGTTAATTGTAAAACATCTAATATTATTTATAAATTTTTTTATGTTACTTGTTAAGTTCAAAATATTAATGATGTAAATCCACTTGTATCAGTAATGTGAAGTTGTTGCTGCCTTAGTGATTGTTGTTATTGATATAAATTTGTCCTTATTTGTCCTTATTTGTCCTTTAACTTATTAATTATGATATATTACTTGTCAAATTGTTATTCTTATAAATCTTTTTTGGGTGAATCATTGATATCAAGTTTTGATATAAAAATGCAAAATGGTCCCTAGACATGTGTAATTATTTTGGTGATATTGACCAGTGGGATACATTAAAAAAGTCTTATAGCACCTCTCAATTGTGTTAACATGGATTGGGATGGGCTCAGTGTGTGAGGGACGGGTGAAGGTATTGCACATTAATGGTATTAAAGTTGTACTGTCCAAAATAATTATATTTTACATTGTTAAAACCTTAATGTTATATTGTGGTATTTGAAAATCGTATTATGTGGTTGTAGTGACAGGTAAGTGTAGTTAGTGACAAGCTTAATAATAACTTTAGTGTTAATCTTTGAAGGATTGAGAAAATGGCATAGAAGAAAGAACGACAAAGGATTTATCGTACTAAGCTTGGAATGTAAATTAACAACAAAACTTCTTTGTACTAATTAAATGTATTTATGATTGTTTTGATGTTCATAATAACTATTTGACCAGTTTAGTTGAGCATTTATCAAGTATTGATATATTAAATTTTACATGTAATGAACCACATAAGTGTGGTTAGGAATTTAACAAATGATGCTATTTTTTTAACAAGTAACATAATGAATTTTATAAGTTAAATTAATAAATTAACAAGTTATACAACATATTGGACTTATCAATTAATGAAAAGAAATTAACAAGTAATGTAATATTTCCAACAAATTAAGATAATGGTTTAACAAGTTAAGTATTTAATTGTGGCTTGATAAATTCACAAGTAATGCAAGGAATTTAACAAGTTATGTCAAATAATGGTTCACATTCTTTCTTTTCATTTTTATTAAAGGCATTTTGATCATTTAATCAAGAAAATTTTTTCATTTTAGTTCTCCTATCCTACAGTGAAATTTCATATTTGATTGGGTCTGATTTGTAATAATATCCCATCGATGGTTTTATATTGAAGTTCTCCCTTTTTTTTTAATTAAAAGACAACATTATAGAAAAGATGTTTGGCCAGGTAACCCATATGATGTGATTTCCATTCGTGAGAAGAATGGGCATAAAGTAGCGAATAAACAGTAAAATATTTAATTAATAGAAATGACCAAATCTTGAAGGTGCATTCAAATATTCTAATCCAACTTCAATCTACAAGTAACTCATTCAAAAAAAAAAAAAACTACAAGTAATTGAACTTCAAAGATATTTCACCTTTTTGTTCTCATACCCAATTTTCATGCCAAATATTCCTCATGCCGTTAAAAAATTATTAATTTTTGCAACCTTTTTATCATTTTTTATAAAATTTGAGGCCGTTTTCTTTAACTTGTGATAAGTACATATTTTATAATTAAATATATTTAAATTTTAATTTTAATTTAATTATATTTATTAAAATTTTATATATATTTAATTAATATTTATATATTTTTTTCACATCATTTAATTATAAAATCAAAAATGTTTTGATACAAAATTTACTTATATCTTTCTTTTTTATATTTTATAAAAAAAATATTAAATAAAGGAAGAAAATATAAAGAAAAGAAAAGGAAAGAATATACATATATAGGGAAGGAACAGCTGTAACGCAAATACCGCGTGCACTTATCTAAATATTTAATTTTACACACACACACATATATGGTTATGGAAGATGTGCTGGATGTTATCAACTAAAAATGAAAAAAATATGCCTTCACTTTAAATATTTTAAAAATTTTCTGTAAGATATTTAGAGTTATAGAAACATTTTAAAAGTTAAAAGCGAGATCGTTTAAAAGTTTTACGTATTATAATTATTTCTTTCTTACTCCTTAATTTTCTCTGTGATTTTTTTTTACAATTAGAGATTTTAAAACGGTATTATTTAATTTTATTATATATTTTTAAATTACTCAATTAAGGTAGGATATAACTCAATTGAGAAGCAAGTTTTTTTTTTTATTTTACCTCTTTACATTTATATTTATGAATATTTCTTTCTAATTATATTCATTTCTCTTATTTTTTATATTGATTTAATGATTGATCATCATTTAATCAAATTTATGGTTACTCTTAATAGACTAGGAGGTGAAGAAAGAACATATATCTAGAAAAATAGACATACATAACAAGATTAAGGATAGTTCTAAAATTTGCAGCGACTTAAAAGATAGTTCACAGTTTAATTAGTTGTTTGGGTATCGTAAAAATGAATTCAATATTAATTAAAAAGAGATTAATAATTTTAAAGAATATTAGAATATTTTAAAAATAGTTGTCACTTTAAAAATAAGGTGAATCCTAAATCTCAACAAGTCAAGTGATTGTATTTTCATCATTATTATTTTCTTACTTTATTTTTATTATTTATGTTATAATCAAATAATTCATTTTATCTATCTTTCTCAAACTATTAATTATTTAAATTAGTAAAAATGTAACTTTTCTTTAAGTTTGACATCTGGAATATTATAAATAATTTACTACCTTGATCCCATACATTTGTAGGAGCAATCAATTTGTTGTTTAACTAATCGTTAAAATTAATTTTTATGAATGATATAGGCAATATATGGCACTAAAATTAAATTTAAGATTTTAAATGTTCCTAAATTTATAATTTAAGAGCTAATTTTTCATTTAATTCAAGAACTTGATGCACTTGACTTTCATTTTTTTAACAAAAAATGTATTATTTTATTTTAAAAAAATTCACATGCTTGGTTAATTTTCAAAATAAGATGGCAAATTTTTTGAAAAATTTGATTCGAACGTTAAAGATTCTCGAAAAGGACTAGAAATGAAAAGCTTTTGTAAATACTTGCAAACCTATGGAAGAAAGTTATAAGCATGAGTAAATCGTATAAGTTTTTGAAGAGAATGAAAGACTATTGCAAATTATTAAAGAGTATTGAAGACTCTCAAAGAGATTAAAGAATGAAAGACTTTTGCATATACTCATAAACTTATGGAAAAAAGTTGCAAATGCGTGTAACTTGTGGAAGATTTTGTAAGACAATAAAAAATTATTGTAAATCATTGAAGAGTGTTGTAGACTCTCGAAGAACGATCCAAGGGTGTCTTCATTTTTTTCCTCCCTTTCCCTCCACTTCCCCCATCCCCACCATTCAAATTTTTTTATTAAATAATTTTTTTAAATAATAAAATTAATGAATGATAAGGATGGGAGAAGTGAGGGGAAATGGAGAGAAAAGAAATGAAGAATCTCCACTTCCCTTGAAGAACACCAGAAATGGAATACTTTTGCAAATACTTGCAAACTTGTGAAAGAAAATTGCAAATACATGCAAATCATGGAAGAAAGTTATCAATAAGTGCAAATGGTATAAAATTTTTAAAGACAAAATAGAAAACTATCACTACCGTCAAAATATCACTGTAGTAATAAAGTGATTATTATTTGATTAAAAAAACCAAGTCATAAAAATTATGTGGGCCAAGGGCTGAAATGGAAAGATATCTTGGGTGGCCCACTTTTCCCCCCTCATCCCTTAGGGGTTGCACTTTTTTATTTCTGACTTGCATATTTTCAAATGGATTTTTTAATTTAACTTAAAAAGATTTTTATTAAAAATATTATTAAGTAATTTTGAACAGGTTATCTTGACTAAATTTTAAATTGCACAAGATGAAATACAACAAAATAAAATTACGTATCACTTACGTTTTTACTGTATGCATAAATTCTAAAATGAATAAGTTATTTTTATATTATTAATATAAATGAGTAATAAATTTTGAATTATAATACATTTTTGTTAATATTTTTAATATGCATGGAGTAATAATTTTTGGAATAAAATATGCTAATTAAGCTATATAATTTTATTTCACACTTTCAGAAACTATCACTTTTTTGTTTTGTAAAATTATCATTGAAAATATCAATTCACATATTGTCCTAAATATTATTAGTTTTGTAAAATTATAATATCAACATTTACTCAATATTTAACTTCTATTAGTTTTTATAGATTGTTTAATTCAAGGGAAATGAAGGGGATTTTAATAAATCTAATTCAAAAATATCGTGTTGAAATTTTTAAATTATTTTTACTTCTTTAATCCTACATCTTTCCTCTCTTAAAATTTTATATCATTTATAATTTTTTTAAAAAAGCAAATTCATTAAAAATTTTATTTTGTCCTATCCTTTTATTCACTTTAAATCAAATACAAGGTTAATCACGGGACCTTAAATCTAGTTTTATCTTAAAAACTTGTTATCATATTCTGAAAATTAATAAAGTGTATAAACGTTTTAGAATAAAATGGTGCATTTTTCATCAAAAACAAAGTCAGCGGCATCAAAATCTCGAGTTAATTATTTTTTCTTTAAAAACTTGCTATTCTATTCTAAAAGTTAATCAAACATGTAAATCTTCATAATGAAATGGTACGTTTTTTCCTGAAAAATGCCGCTCAACATTATCAAGTTATTTAAAGAGTATTTTTGTCCTTTCATTTTTAGAGATATTGACACAAAAAATTAGGGAAGAATAATATATAAACATTTGCCAAAAATACAAATATAAGATTGAGTACTAAAGTGATTCATTGGTGAAAGCACCACTCTAACGTCAATATATTTATGAATGGTTGCATTGAGTAAAAGGAGCCTCAAATCCTTTTGAAAACATGTTCGATGTTCAAACTTTTGCTGGAATCCGCATTAAAGTTTTTCTGATTTTTCACTTTATTTAAATCATTTTAATTTTTAATTAATCATCTTTCTTGGAGAATGAAACTGTCAATAAATTGAAACAGCAAGGAGTCAAATTTCAAAATTGTTTAGGGGTCAAATGCAAAGAATCAAAACTGAAGCCAGCTGCCTGGAATGGGGAATTTACAGTAATATCCCCATCTGAAGTAAATAAAATAAAAGGGAGGCTCACCCAACCCTCAACCACCATTAATACCACCAATGCACAGTTTTGTCCAATGTTAAATTGCCATTAAAGAAATTAAATCACAAACAATAACAGGAATTCCAAGTTAGAAAGAACACGAAGTGAATCGGAAACCAGAATGATCATTAAATCAAGTCATTGTCGTCTATGATAATTAGAAAACCCACAAGGCCTCAGGGAACTTCCACTAAACTACACTAACACTACACAAATTTTACACCACAATTACAGCAACACAAACTACCACACCCACTTCACCACAGCGAAAGATCACTACTCCTAATTCAGAAACCTATTGTCCAACGCTCACTTCAGTCAACGCGGGCTTCTCCTTTGGAGGCCGGCCTCTGGGCCTGCTTGTAACAGTGACATTTTCCGGTGAAGTTCGGGCCACTTTCTTGGGCCTTCCTCTGGGCCTGCCACTTCCGGTTGAAGTTTTGGGCTTGGGCGGAGCACTTGGGTCCTTAGGTGGGCGGCCTCTGGGCCTCGGTGGGGAAAGCACGGTACCCGGAGGCAGAGGAGCCTTGGGCTTGGGCGGCCTCCCGCGACCTCGCTTGGGCGGGGCATTCGGGTCGGGTTTCATGTAGTTGTTCTTTGCGAACACAAGCTCCCCACTCTCCTTCATCCTGTTGAGATGGTGAGACAGCAACGTCGAGTGGCTCGCCGGCAACTCGCCGTAGGTTGCCTCTATGTGCTTCGCGATCGCCGATTTGTTCGCACCGTTCGGTTCGTTGAGAGCCTCCAGCGCTTTCATTATCATCTACAACAACACATGAATACGAAACAAACAGAGGTAAAAATTTTTCCCTAAAAGTCTCGGATCTGTTTCTGTTCAATTAATTTTTCTCCGTCCAAAAAAAATACCCGGAGAGACTGTAAAAAGGAAGCGAAACTCAGATCAGAATGCCTGTAAGAACGAAGAAGGAAGGTTACCTCTGGGTAAGGAGGAAGCGAGGGAGGTTCAGTCGCCATTTTAGGTGAAGAGAACGAAGCTGGTAAAGCAGAGAAGCGCGAGAATTAGAAGTTAGAACCCAACGAAGCTGAAAAATTGAAACTTTTAAGGGAGAGTGAAAGAGAAACAGAGAGGGCGGTGAGAAAATTTTTCACAAAAGGAACTGTTTAAATTTAGTTGAGAGCAGCAACGATCGGAGGACGAATTTAAAGGAGAATAAATAATTTTTTAAAAAACCGTAAAGAGAAAGAGAGGTTAGAAAAAGAAAAGTAAGGGAGAAAGGAAAGCAGCTCCATCCTCTTTTTCGCACTCTTCATGCATCTTTTTGAGACCATAATCGACGGCTGGGAATCATGAAGGTGGCATTGATCTAACGGTGCAGGATTTCTTGTGAGGGAGGTCACCTGGATCGATGACGTGGCGGGATTTTGAAATTGGCATGTTATCTTCCATTTATTTATTTACGTTTATTTTATTTTATTTTTGGTAAAGCATACTCCATTTGTTTTGGATGAAGATTTAGGTGAAAAGTCCGGTTTTTATCCGCGGGGGACAGGAACTATTCATTTCTCAACCAATTACAAAAAGAAAACAGTGACTTGCCTACTTGTTTTGGGCATTTACAACCTAATAATCAACAGTGTTTTTTTTGCAATCTAATTGATTGTAGTTTTTCCAGAGTATAGTATAGTAGTTTTAATTTGCTCAAAAGAAAAAAGAGTAGTCTTAAAAGATTTTCTTCGCCTCAAAATATAAAATATTTTAAATTAATTATAATTTTATTAAATATATTAATTTTAATATTATCCTTTTTAATATATTAAATTATAAATATTTTTAAAATTTTATATTTTTATTTTAAAAAAATAAAGTTTTTAAATGTATTTAATAAGATTTATTGGTATATAAAATTTTATCAAAAATATTTTATAATTTAAGACGAAAGGAATATAATATTAAGATCAACATCAGTAAATGTTTGATAATAAATTTCAAGTTTATTATTTTTAAATACAAATTTTAAACATAAAAATTACAATTAAATTTGGTTTAATTTTTTAATTATAGCTTAAAGTATTAAAATTTAATCCGATCACAATTACACCTTCTTATAGTGCATTGTATGAGTTGTGAATATTAAATTGATTGCTTTAAAAAAATTACAACTTCTTGTATAAAAAGCGTTTAATTTAGTTACAATTTTTCATAAGACTTTGTAATAAGAAAATGATAGGTAATTTACATAGCGACTTGTTTTTTTATAAATTGCCGACCAGGAAAAAGATGGGGAGCTAAAGGGCAGTTCACTCTCCCAACATAATTTTATTAGTATAAACTGTGTGAGTATTAGCTTTCCCTTTGGATATCGTGGCTAAGAAATAAATCGTACCATAATTTTTCTTTATAATTCTAATGACTTGATCTACAATAATCATTATATATCAAGTTCAGAATAATATAATAATTATGAATTATAATTAACATGTGAATAGAGAGCAAACTGCTAGTATTTTTTTTTTTTTTGGTAAACGATTGCTAGTGTAATTTTGAATAGGAAATTTGATTTATATATATAGTAAAATATAATAAATTTCATTACTCACAGAACATTGAAATTAACAGTGTTGTGTGCCCACTATTGTTTCTTAATCCAATTGTTTTATGTCTCGGTTTTTCTTACAATATTTTTTGTTATGGTTGTATTTTTCTTATTTTGTTAAAAAAATTAAAGCATGTTTAATTGTGACCATTATCATTTAAAAATTATTTTGATACTAATTTTTAAATGATATCATATTGACACATTTTATATTTATATAGTTTTAAAACTATCTTTTAATTTTTGTTCTATGGGTAATAAATTCATAAATAAAATAAGATGTTTATATTTTTAATATGCATAAAAGTAAAAAAATTTGTTAAAAAATGCACATGCATGAGCATTTGACTCCCACAAAATATTCAAAGTAAGGCTTGCAACACCTCTCTTGCCAGATACACCCAAAATGCTGAACAATATTCAAGGAAATATGTATGTAAAAGACTCCAAATTGATAAATAGTGATGGATCAAGTCCTGCCAAAAGTAAAAAGAAGAAATTAGCAACTTGAAAGATTGACTTTGCAAAGGCTTTTGATAGAATATCTTAGTCTTTTATTGAAGTTGTCCTTGTTAAGGTGAATTTTCCATCAAGGCCAATTCAATTGAGTCTACAATATATCTCCGTGATGCATTATCAAATTCATTTTAATGGTAGAGCTACAGCTTTGATATATCCTTCGAATGGAATTAGGCAAGAGGATCCCTTCCCCTTATCTATACACTTTTATTGCAAATATTCTTTCTAGCCTGATCTTGCGTAAGAAACAATCAAGAGCTTTGAAGATATTAAAATATGCAATGATACATACTCAATTATGTAATCTCCTTGAAGTTAAATCACACTTAACTCCAAATTATAGTAATCCAAGACTTAACTCATAAGAATTACCAAACTATAGGATTTATAAATGAATTTCTCAAAATTTATTTTAAAGAATCCAATTTACCATTTTAAATCTCAAATATAATTTAAGAACTTCAAAATAGAGTTTTAAAAACAAAACGAAAATTTAAAAATCAATTGAGACTTAAATAATGAGTTTTAAAACTCAAAATAAATTTTTACAAAGAATTTGGCACGTGCAAGGTTATCTAATAAAAAAAATTTAAAATTTTTTAGTGTAATGGGTACTTAGAGAAATTGTATTTTTGATAGTAGATTAATAAATTTGAGTTGTCTAGTCGTAGACCAAACTCTCTTAAAACAATTGAGAGCATTGTTGTGCCGAGAATCTACAGGTGCTCTTTTTGCATAACTTAAGTGGTAGACATAACTGAAAATCTAAATTTTCTCATATGCTTATTTAAGTATTTTTGGTAAATTGAAAAGTATGAAAAGTATGTTTATATATGACAATGCTCTTTTTCAATTTTTATAAAATATATAAAGTGGGTATGAGTTAAATTGTTAAAAGTTATAGATAAATTGAATATATTATATAATATTGAAAGTTATGGGAATGATTTGAGAACTATGAAAATTGAGTTTGAGAAATATGAAAATGTTAATGAAATTGAGTATGATTGTTGAAAATATGATATTGTTGGCATGTGAAAATACATTATCATGCTTGCATATAATTGTAAACATGATTCCATGACTATGAAAATGAAAGGGGCAAGAGTTTCACCGTAGTCGAGAGGTTGTTGTGTTGTAAGTTCATATGGCTTAGGAAACACTTGAGTAGCCCTTAGTATTGCATAGTTGTATCACTTGCTTCAATGTGAGTTAGCTATAATTTTAGTTTAGCTGATAGGAGTGAGTATATGCTATTGGCAACGTATATATGACACCTTGCTAGAATTTAAGGAGAATTCATGGTCCAAGTTTGGGGAGTAATAATCTCTGGCTGAGTTACCCTTTAACATTAGAGAGTTTAAGCTAGTCTAATTATACAGATTGGTCCTATTATAAATTATAGCTCATTGACTCAATCAAGAGGAATAAGGAGGTGACAAGGGAGAAAAATTATTGATCATGCATGCCTAAATGTGTTGTTATGTTGAATAACCCACTTTACTTACTTTTAAATGCTTGTGCTTATATATGTTAAAAATTAGAATTTCTTGATTAATGAAATATTTATATCACCCTATAGTTTAACATTTTACAAGAAATGCTTCGAGTAATGACAAGGGAAAAGGGTTGGAGGCTAATTAGTCTTTTGTCAATTTTATGTCTCTTCTTACGTGTAAAAGATTTGTACTTAATGTTTTATATATATATATATATATATATATTGTGCCAACTGAGGGACACATCATGCATTATGATTGTAGTTGGGATTGCAACTGAATGTTGGTAATTGCTTAGCCATTTTATGAAATCAAGCTAAGAGGGGCTTGTGTTAAGGTTGGGTTTTTTTTTTTGGGAAAAATATGCTAAGATATCATTGAATATCAAGGGTCTAGCTAGTTTTGTTAATCCATGCATATGGGGCTTGTGGTATGATTAGAAAATATTGTGATTGATATTTATATATGAACTTGTTGAAGCTGTGTTTATAATTGAATTGTGAATTATATTGTTGTGTTGACTCTTAATGTGGTTATGCTCAATTGATTGATTTGGGAGATTCGATTGTGGATATTACTTATGTCATGGAAATGATCATTTTGTCCTTGTATTGTTATGAAGTCTTCACTAGTAAGATTTATCTCCTGCTTTTGTTTGTTTGCTAATTATGATCTTATATGTTTTGAATTCAATAGTTTTGAAAATTAATTTTATTGGAATATCATTTTCAAAGAGTGTTCACCAAACTTGTTTATTTTGCAACCATGGTTAAACATATTCTATCATAATAATAGTTAATAAAAGAATATTAATTTTAATTATCATGATAGTAAAGTTTAATTAGTGAGTTAATTATGTGCTTATCACATTTGCTATCAATTCTTGAAGCTCTCGTCACATTCTCAAAACTAGAAAATATGTGTTATTTTGTTTATGCTTGCCTTTAAAATTAGATATTGACAGAATTGTCAATTAAAAAGAGAAACCTTATTTTATCAAAATAAAAGAAAGAAAGAAACCTTATCCTAGAACGAGTTACTCAAATGTTTGAGTAGATTTTGAAATTAAACCCATGGCTCCATATTTTTAGTGTTTATTCATTCACTGCCACAAAATATTTAAACGAGAGTACCCACTTCAAAGTATTTGATTAAAAAGCGTTCAGAAAAATAGATATAAAACTATTTTGGAGTACTTTCCAAAATTTCTCAATCACTGTATGATACTAATTATTGCCGTTTACAATGATTGCTCAATTTGTTTATTGGCCATAATAAAAATCTAAAATCTTGCTCATCCACAACATAGAAATAGCATCATACATGTACACGAAGCCGATTTCCATTTGTAATCAACTTCTATCACATCGACATCGACATCGACATCGACATCGACATCGACGTGGATAAGTACTTAAACGAAATTCTACTTTTATTTTGTAACGTCATTAAAGCATTAAATTAACTTAAAAATTGCCGGCAAAGAGTAAATTTGACTTATAAGGGATACCTTTCTCATTGAAAATCACTTACCCAATTGCTAATAAGCCCAGTGAAGCCCAGATACATTGGAAAACAAGCTTATAGAAAGTTTGGAACCCCATCGAAGTCATCAACTATCATTAAAATATTTTTTTTTTCAAAAAACTATCATTAAAATAGCAAAACAATACAATTAGGAGTGGGTGGAGCATGAGTTTTAAGAAATAAATAATTATATTATTTTTAAATAATAAATAATTATACAAATTTTTAACACACATTATATGGCCTGTAACTTACAAGGTTGGATGGTAAATGTTTTATGGTGATCACAGTTTGTTGGGATTGAAGATATGATTTAGAAATTGTAGGCCAGTGTTATTGCTTCTATGATAACAGTTTTCTCCTCTTCTTTTTTATTTAACGTGGTATATATAAATCACCACAATTTTCTCTTCCCAAATTCTCACCTCTCTAATTTAACATGTGTTCTAAATTCTAATCTCCCCCAGGCTTGTGGACGCCTGACTGAGGCTCTCTCTCTTCTCAAATCTTTCAATTGCTTTTACGATTTTTTTTTTTAACTCACTCTATTTAGGCCCTGAATCAAGTGGGCCAACTCTTATGAGTTAGATTTGACTCACTTCATCCTTATTTAAAAAAGTCTAGGAAATGGGAAAGGTTCAAAGTTTCCAGCACCGCGCGCTCTAAAATAGAATAATATTGTACCCAAAAAAAAAAAATAATAATAAAAATAACAAGAGAACCCAACCCAGATACTTTAGCTGCAAGCCCAACCTCTTCCTTCCACCAGCATCCAAGTTTCCAACTATTTATGCTCTCTCTTTCTCGAAAGCGGTCTAAAGCACTGACTCCTTAGCCCTCATCTCTGACTTGTAAAATTTGATAACCATGCCATGGCCCTTCTTTTTTTTTTTTTTTGGTTGGAGGATTGCGCTGGATTATGAATTATGTTGGATAAATATATTTTTGCTACGATGTATTTTAATTTTTGTTTTATTACTTAATATATATAATTATTTTATGAGTTGAATTTTAAGTTGCATGAAATATTGATATATATTATTTAGGCTAAAAAATGTTGATTTTCTTAAAAAGAAAAATAAAGTTAAATGAATTGATTAGGTTGGTTCATTTAACCCAATAACTGACATGATTTGGGCCTCATATAAAAATGGGCCGAACACTACCAAACTCAATTTCCCCATAGTTCGAATGGGCCAACTCACATGACTGGGGTTGACTCAAATTCCTCTCCTCAGGCACACGAATAAACATATCTTTGACTAAAAAGGGGACAGTATCACGCCTAGCGCTGTAAAAAGTATGGGGACTCAGGAGAGGATTCCCATGAATAAAAAAGGTACCAGGAGAGAATAAGTATAAAGCAACACATGCCATATGGTCATAGAGACAAGAGCCAAGAGGTTTCATGCATGTGAAATGGGTAATGGGTTACCTCACTTTCAAACGCTAACGTTGGGACATGTACATAAAATTTGAAACACAGACAAGTTGAGACAATATTGAAGCATTCATGAATATGCCAAGCTATTGACAGGACATGAATCAGACATGGATCCCCCAAAGTTATTCTAGATATGCTACGGAAGATATAGACACAAATGGCATATCCTCCTTACATATTGAAAGTAAAGCTCCTATATATGTTTTTTTTTCTCTTTACTTAAAATCACTGAAAATTTCACGACGGGATGCTTATAAAAATTTCAAACCAAGTGGAGTGGGCCGCATATGGGCCTTGCAATAGGGATGCAAACAAGTTCATGGGCTCGTGGAACAGTCAACCCAGGCCTCTCTTCCGTGTCAACCACGGCAACTTTGTTGCCTTGAGGGCTCACGGGCTGAAAATCAAAGCACTGAATAAGAGCAGCCACAACAGCAGGCACCTCATGCATGGCAAGAGTCAGACCAGAACACATCCTCCTGCCAGTCCCAAATGGTAGATACTGAAAATGTTGTCCCCTCACATCCAAAACACCCTTGGAGGAATTCTCTTCCATGGGCTTTAAGAATCGTTCGGGCCGGAAGTCCATTGGGCTCTCCCACAGGCTTGGGTCCCTACCCATGGCCCAAACATTCACCATCAGCACCGTGTCCTCTGGAATCACGTAGTCCTCGATCTTGCTCTCCGATGTGCACCTTCTCACAACTAAAGGCACCGGTGGGTGTAGACGAAACGTTTCTTTAATAACCGCTTGGATGAAGGGAAGTTTTGGACCGTCAGATTCTTCTACTAGCCGTTGATTTCCAACCACGTCATCAATCTCCTGGCGAGCTTTCTTCAGCAAGTCGGGGTGGTTGATCAACTCCACTAATGCCCATTCTATCCCAACTGCCAGGGTATCTGTGGCCGCTGTGAATAAATCCTGAAACACCCCTTGCATTCATCATTTAATGTTGTTCTCGTTTCTAATTTAGAGGTTTATACATCAAACAAACACGTACATTAATCAAATTAGCTTCTTCTTTTTTAAATATAATTTGGCTCACATTTAACCTCACAATATATTAATTTGACTGTCGTCGGTCTTTGGCAAAAACTTCTTAACAATACAATGATTAATTCCTAGTTTGATGATGTGGATCGCACAATAACACTCTTCAACACTGATATGACAGAAAATAATATTTACGTCTATGTGTGTTTTTGTGTCTGGGGATACGCCTGTATTTATATTCCTTTTATATAATTTTCTTCATTCCAAACGAATAATCATTTTAAAAATTCATTAGAGACATCAAAGAATAATATTTAATTGGTTCCACTTGTATGTGATTTCAATATGCTTGATAAAATAAGATTTAAATTCTTTAACGTTGTAATTAGTGAATTTTTGTAATTTTTTTTTTGAAGAAAGAGTGAGAAGATATTTTGTATTTTATATTAAATCCGATAAAATATTAAAATTTGGAAAAGAAAGGAATGTATAACTAATTACCATGACCAAGCCCTTCATGTGAACCCTGTTAATTTTGACGTCGGAGGTTTCATCCGCTGCAATGTCGAGCAAAATGTCAAGAAAGTCCCTCTCGCCACCCTCATGTTTCCCGCCACCTTGTCCACGAGCTTTATTCCTGGCCTGTTCGCGCTTCGTGATGATCCTGTCCACTAAACTATCAAACCTCTGGTAAAGATCCTCGATTCTCTTCCCAAACCCTTGCACGTCCAGCTTCTTCATCACCCACACGAAATCAGCCACGTTGAACTCCCCAAACATCTTCGTCACCTCTCTGATCACGTCCCGCGCCTCCTCCGATTCTCCGATCATCATCTTCGATATCACCGTGTTCGTCATCTTCAGCAACTCCTCCGTCACATTCACCGCCTCGCCAGCCCGTGCCTTTACGCCTATAAGCGTTAGAAGTCTATCGTACTCCTGGACGCGGAGGCTCGAGAATCTTCCGGTGCCTCGAGAACCGAACAGCTCATTGAAGGTTAGCTTCTTGATGAACTTCCAGTAAGGTCCGTAGGGGGAGAAAGCAAGAGAGGTCTCGTAGGTGAGCCGTTTTATGGCGGTGGATTCAAGCCGAGAGCTGAAGGCCAGCTCATTGTCTTGAAGGAACAGCTTGGCGTAATGGGGATTGGAAACGACTACGCAAGGCACGGAGCCCAGGTAAAGAGAGAAAAAGGGGCCGTATCGGAGGGAGAGACGGTGGAGGGACTGGTGGACAAGGGGACCAAGGAGGTGCAAGTGGCCAATAACCGGCAGCCACGGCCAAGGACCTAAGGGAAGGCGGCCGCGGCCGCGCCGGAAGGAAAGAAGGAAGATGACAAAGGTTGAGAGGAAGAGAGTTAGAAGGAGCACTTGAAACTCCATGGTATAGACTATAGAGTTAGTGCTCTAGTATATTAATTTGATGGTGGATGGCGCTCAAAAAAGCTAAATGAGGAGGGTATATATAGAGCTTGTGGGATTTGAATATTGTCTACACTCTCGTAGCGTAATAATTGTTTGCATGTGCATTTAAAATTACTGACACGTAAATTTTAGTACCATGTCTCCTCTTCTTCTTCTCTAACCAATCCAAACTATGTGTCATTCAACCCCAGCCCCCAGGTGTATGGTGGAGGCGGCTACGACTGCGGCTGCGGCCCCCAACCCCTAGATCATTTTAATATGTACTCGTATATAAGAAGTTTTTTTTTCAAGACAAATAATATGAGAAGTTTTTTTTTTGAATAAAAGGTCACGGAAAAACCGTGCTATGTGATATGATGTGTCATATCACTGTATAAAAAATTTATACAATCAAGAGACGGAGTATTAAAAATATGAATTTTAGAGCTTTCGATAGGAGTTTGGTGAGCCAATCAATTCACTTTTTTATTTGTTTTTTTGAAAATGTGATCAAAAGTAACCATTCAGTTTTTCATAACAAGATCTCTGATTTTGTTAATGGTTACAGCAAGGGAATGATTTGTAGAGAATTCATTGCGTATTGGTGCGAGAGCTTCTGCAGAGTCAGAGTAGACGTTAACCTTATCAAATTTTTCCATCCAGCAAATATTAAGTCCTTCCAAGATGTCCAATATGAGAAGTTTTAACACCCTTGCCATCATGCTTTTATTATAGTAACTCCCTTTATGTTTTCTTACACATAGTTTAATATTAAGCTGTTAGCAAGTTACCTGATACTAGATAAAATAATAGATATTGCTAGTTCATTAAAAAATTATATTATCTTTATTAAAAAATATAAAGCATTTTAAATGAATCTCAACTCTCAATAAATTAATTATTTATTTTTAAACTAATATCATCTTTATATATTTAGTCTCATTTAATAAAGTGTTTCACTTAAAAATAAATATAAAATGATTTATTTATTAAGGGTATTTTTTTAAAAAAATACATTAAAACACTAAAGATACTCTACAATTTTTAACATCTAACCTCTGAAAAAAAGCTTTACATTTTTTAATAGAAAGTCACTCCCACATTTTTTCCTAATAGTGAGGGGTTTTAATTAAATAATGGATGAGCCGTCTTTCATGAAGCATGGAGATGAAGTAGATGGAAATTTTAAAATCTGCAGCCAATTACGAAGAAGAAGAAGAAGAGAAGGAAAGTATAGCATTTTAAAATGATTGCTCATGGCAGTCGTTTTCTATTTCTATTTTTTTTAATTTCTTACTGTTTTTTTAGTGTCACAATGTATGGCCATTTCGTGGAAGACTTGTAAAGCATGAAGAAGTGCATTGTGTTTATGCTGCCCTGATTGATTGGTCCCAGTTTTTATTACCATGAATTGTATGCGTTTGAAAGTTGCTATTATTAGACAATAAACAAATAAAAACAAAAACAAAATTTCTGGCTGCTCGCTGCTGCTTGTTATTTTCGATAAGTTTGAAAACACTCGAAGCAACCAACCAAGCGCCGGCCAGACTTGTATACCTGTTTATAAAATTAAAAAAAAAATTAGTTAAAGTTAGTTTAATTTAACTTTAATTGAACATTTTTTTTACAATTTTTAAAAAATTACCTTTGTTAACTTTCAATCTATCACACACATGCTGAGTTATGTTATGTATATATAGTAGGCTGAGTTCGTTAAAAAATCATAAGCTTGTCATGGTTGATGTCGATGGAGGGAGAAGACACCTTGCAATTGTTAGCAGATCTGATGGCGTTGCTGGAATTGGGAGGTGAAGTTTGTCATCGATGTGCAGTTGCTGAGGGGAGCCATTGACGCCAGTGATGGAGAAGGTGAAGAAGGAAAGAAGAAAAGATGAGGGTATTTGCTGTCAATATAAATTTAAAACAGGGACATTTGAGAATGAAAAATTCATTCCCAAGGGAATAGACCTATATATTACCATGGTCAGCCAGTGGAATGGTTATTTCCTCATTTGAGGTAGTGGGTCATTTCAATAAAATGAACACTCCCACCTATTAAACAAGGGAACGAGCTATTTTCACTCCCATTCCAATCCATTCCACCATATCCAACATTTATCAATGTTAGGTTTCGTCCTCTTGATAAGTTGGAGGACGGTGACATGCATTTTCTAAGCAGCTCATAAGCTCTTTTATAATTTTCACGTCTATAATTTGTTTGTCAAGTTTTAACTTTTCTTTGATTAAAGTTGACTTTTTAAAAACTATAGGTTCATGATTGTCAATTTTAAATTTTTTTTATGTAATGCTTCCTTTTCAATAATTTAAAACGGTGCAATGTTATCCTTATTTAACAAAGTTAATTTTGACAATTAGTTTGGCTAGAAAATCATAAAATGGTATAAAAAATTATAAAAAATGACTCATAAAATTATAAATAAGTATTTTATAAGAAAAAGTTTCTTAAGTTACAAAGTTACAAATAGAACAACTGACAAATGTTATTTTTTTCATATAAAAGACTAAAATAATCATTTTGGCCAGCTACTGGAGATTATAATGTCATTATTTTTGACAACAATACATGTAAGTAATTAAAAAATAACATTTTTACTTTAATAATATCTTACTAAAATATTAATAATTTTATGTTGAATAATTATGATATTATTATTTATAAATATTTCTCTAAAATTCATAAATTAACTTTTATAGATGAATGTGTTTCTCGCACTAGTTGAGTTATAAATTAAAATAGTATGATAAATTATAAATTATAGACCAGAATTTACAAATCTTCCTTCAAAAATGTATAAATGGTGTTAAAAAATACATTCATTCTTAAATCATGCTCCTTTTGGATCATAATATTTGTTACTGTTAACTAATTTATAATTTATAAAAAATATTAGTTTAAACCTTATTTTCCTAAAACCATTCATATTTTTTCATTTATACCTTTGAGTTTTTCTAATAACACATGCATAGTCTTTAAATATGAAGCATTTAAAACAAGGAATAAAAAAAACAAGGGTATAAATAAAAAAACATAAAATTTACTCAATATTCTATATTTTGAATCAAGTGGTGATTCTAAAAAATAACTTAGATTAAAGTATTAATATAATTTTTGGAGAATTTATAAATGTCAAAAGTTGACTTGTAAATTATGTGTGAAAATTTGTAAATAATAATATTTAAATTCCTATATATTAAAGTATTGATATTTCAATACAATATTATTAAAAAAATTAAATATAATATTTTTTTTAGTTACTTATTGATATTGTTGCCAACGATAATGATCCAATTATCACTCGATAACCAATTAAAGTAGCTAATTAAAAAATGATATTTGATCTTTTATAAATGGATAAAAAATAACATTAGTCTTTAAAATTTATTTGCAATTTATAGACTTAATATATAAATTAATTTTCTTGTAAGGTACTTATTTGTAACTCTTGTCATATTTTATAATTTTTGAGATTTTTTTTATTTTTAATCAACCAACTGTTAAAATTAAATTTTTTAGTTTTATGCAATTTTTAAATGTTAAAAAGAAATATTATACTAAAAAAAAGTTTAAGATCCAAACATTGTATGAAAATTTGAGGGACAGCATGTGACTAAAAAAATGCTTGATGTCTATTGATTTGGTTGATTCCCTTGTATTTAATAAAAAGATACTTTTTTAGCGTCTATGATAAGATACCTTTTAAAATGAGTCTTTTATCCTCAGCAAAGACCATAAAGTACAGGGGAGGTTAGAGTGTTTTGCTATTTTATTAAAATATTATATAATTTTATAATTAATTACATAATTTTTACAACTCAAATTTTATATAATTTTGTTATGTTTTCTCATAAATAATTTTTATAAAAATTTAGTAAGAACACAAGCATTGTAAAAACTTAATTTTTTTTGCCAAAATTATTAAATCAAATTTTATATAAAATTTAGTTTTTTTGGATAAAGTTAATCATCAATTAATAATTTTAACGTTCAATTATCAATATATATAATGGATCAAACTATAAAGATAACCTGATTAAAACAAAATATATTAACAAGTAAGACCTCCTTTGAAAATTTTAAAATAAATTATAAGGAATTATAAATTAATTCTTTTACACAAACATATTGTATAGCTTTTATCTCATAAGTGCAGGCATAAACCTTCACTTGTGCTCAGCCCTCGTTGCTGTCTTTTTTTCTTTTGCGGCCCTCAGTGCCATTCTCCCTTTGATTTTTATTTTATTAATATATATACAATTTTTTGTTTTTGCAAAAAAAATTAATAAATTGAATCAGTAGGTTGGTTTATTATATTTAACCCACTAACCCACATAGCTTGGGTTGGGTCCATAAAAATGGGCTGAATACAATTCAACTTTCATAACTCAAATGACCAACTCATATTCTCATGAGTTGGTCATATTTATAGACAAATAAAATTATACTTTTGACTTTGAAAAAAAAAAGTAAATATATCAGCTAGCACTGTCAAGTATCAGGACACATGAGAGGATTCTCACGGAAAAAAAAGTATTGGGAGAGGATAAGTATAAAGCAACACGTGCCATGGCCACAAGGTCATAGAGAGAAGAGGTTCCATAGATGTGTTGTGTGTGTGAAATTTGCCACCCATTCAAACATTAGCATTGAGAAACAAAATCTGAAACCACAGACAAGTTAATATATAATATAAAAGCATTTATATGCTGAGGTAATAACATTCAGACTTGAAAATTGCAACGTCAAACAAGTTGATTATATAAAAACAAGACGTTATATTACATTGATCTAGGAAGGTAAGATAGATTGCGAGATGAATCAAACATGGATTTCTTTATTTTACATAAGCTACGTACGGAAGATATAGACATGAATGGTTTATCCTCCTCTTGCGACACTTTTATATTAGAAGTCAAGCTCCTATATTTATTTTTATCTTTATTTCATCTAATTAAAGTCACTCTGAAAAAAATTCAAGGCGTGACACTTACTAATCATGGACCACGACAAGTTAGCTA